TCTTGCTTGTTTTTGGTCCAAAGATGAAATTCCATGCCACAACAAGAATTTTGTCCTTGTAGGAACTATATATTACACATGTAGCAAATGACGTATATTTATGTAAACCAAAAAGCTGAAAAATCAAAATAGATGAAATTTGTACTTTGTTCAGTATGATTTGGCTTAAATATTTCAAAAAATAAACTTTGCTGATTTCAGTAGTTACGGCTGAGGTACCTTCACTACCGGAAAATGGTTCTCCGATTTTAACTCTTATCTTATAATATTGCGGGTTGTTAATATACAAGTTGGAAAGTTCAGTAGTTTGCCACAACTTTAGGGAAGGGAATAATATGGTAGCACACCGTTTGGCTAAGGAATGCTGACAGTTGGCCAAGGCAGAAATTAAATCTTTTTATGCAGTCCCACCTTGCTTTGCTATGGCAACTATGTCAACGGATAAGTTATGATCTTTTTTGTGTTAAAATCATACAACAATAACATACCTAATATATTCTTACAATGTGGAAGGATAATGTGTACGTTGAACTTATCATTACCTTGTGAAGGTAGAGAGGTTGTTTTCAATAGGTAGTAGCGTAACCACATACATTGAAGGGTACTGAACACCCTTCATCGAAAAAATATATATTGTGTATATAGAAATTTATATTACGTATATAGGTCAAAAATTATTTTATATGAGTATATTAAATCTTGAACATCTTTCGTGAAATTTCTGATTTTGTTACTTCCGACACACCTCGGCTAAAGAAAAGCATCTCTCAACAAGTTTGAAAAGAAAAATAGCCACATCGAAAATAATAAAGCGATGTTAAAACCATGTTAGATACAAGTTAATGCCTTGTAAAAAAGAGATTGTGCGCGGTGATTAGTTGTACATTCTAACAAAGGAATTTTAAAGAAAGAATTACAAGAAAATACACATGACTTCATACCATAATAAAAGTGGCTCATGTTTTTAAGTTTTACCCTACCTAGTCCATATTGTACATATTTTAATAGCAATGATAAACTCAAAATCTGTGTTGTTACAATCATTGTTTTTAAAAGATATGAAGTTAAATATGTATTCTCACAACCATTGCTTTCACTCTCTCTTCTTCTCACATCTTCTACATATGCTTCAAGAAGCTGAGTATTTTCTGCTTCCCCCCCTGTATTACCTGGTTGCAATGTAAGAAAATTAAAAGGCAGAAGTCCACTATTGAAGGTCATTCAAAGCTTTGCTTTCAAAAATATGATATTTTGAGTTTGTTAGTTGTTTGGATTGGATGTTGTTCTAATTGATTGCAAATATCAAAAGGAGTTCAAGATTTAAATTTGAAGTGATTTGGAGTAGATTTGAGCAAGATTTGAGTTAAATTTCAGAAAAGACGCAATGAAGAAGACGGATCAGTTTTTTGCATAATTTTGTATAATCTTGAATAATAGTGTATATGAGTGTATAAACACATCTTATACACTATTATACACTTTTATACACCTTTATACAAACGTCTGTTGACGAACTTCTTCCACGATTTTTAGTTGCAATTCTTGTTCAAAACCAGTCCAAATCTCCATTAAATGACTTCACATTTTATATACAACTTCCTTATACTATTTCTAACAAGTTTAAATAATACCCACTCCAAAATTCTCACGAAATCAAATTTAGAATTTAAACCCACATATTTAAGCTTGTTAAAAATCTAATCTTCACTACCCAAGTGGATTTGCTTTGTTGAACTAATATTTGAGTCACAATTACTGATTCAAAAGTTAACTTAAAAGCTAGAGCAATATTTTTTAAAAATTAAATAGTAATTTCGAGAACCTATTGGAGTTCAATGTTGAGTATTAGCCTATTATTTTTGGGCTAGTTGGTTGTAAATTGAAGAAATTTTTACCCCTATAGCAAAGGTTAACACCTTATTTATTTTAAATAAATACCATTTTAAAAAATTATATTATATAGGTACCATTTAATGTTTATAGCAAAATATCTAATTTTGATTACCTTCTACCCCTAAGTCACTAAATACGCTTTTCAGTTACACTATTTTTTTTCTCTCTCTACTTTGATACATGTCATTCTCTTCCCTATTCCCCGAAAACACGACGCTCAATCTCAAAATTTCTCTCACCCACATCACCTACCATGAGTCACAAACGGTGCTTTTGCCTCTTTTTGTTCTCGTATTTTTCTCCGCAATCGGTAATCCTTTGTACTGTTTTGAGCCTTAAATTTCTCTAATTAGGGGACTTTGCATCCATGACCAAGAACCTTGACTCATCCGCTGTCGAATTGATGGGATCCTTTGCCACAAAAAATGGCTCGCCGCCAAAGCAGCCTTATCCAAATAATCGGTACCCACTATGCAATCGCGTCGATCAGCTTATGCTATTGATACGTCCAATTTTGCTATGACTGCTATATTTGGCATAGGGTCTCCAATGGCTGCATATTCATACATGTTGGGAAGAGTGAGATTCAAGCTTTTTGCTCGATGGCGGATTCGTCGGAAATTAGGGTTTGTTCTTGAACAAAGACGACGGAGTTTGGGGCTGAACAACTTGATTTTCTATTAATATATTTCAATGTATCACGCTGTATTTTCATGTATTTCATTGTATTCACTATCTTTTTTTAAAATTATATTTCAATGTATCACGCTGTATTTTCATGTATTTCATTGTATTCATTGTCTTTTTTTTCATTGTAATTCAATGTATCTCGCTGTATTCCATATATTTCATTGTATTCACTATCTTTTTTTAAAATTATATTTCAATGTATCCCGCTGTATTCTATGTATTTCATTGTATTCACTGTCTTGCTATATGCCATGAATATATTCATATATTTTTTTAATTAATATAATTTATGTATTCAGATGTATTATATAATTTCTCTATAGATTGCTATGTTTTTGGGGTATTTTTCGGTTAAGAATCTTTATTATAACTAAAAATACAAAATTTGTGTGTTGTAATTGAGTTTGTTGAGTTATATTAGGAGTCTATTATGTTAATTGATTCACTTTCCGTTTAAAAATATTGTAATCTCCTGTTTCACGCCATGAATACAGTCAAATACAATAATCTGTTGCCACTGTATTCATGAATACAGTAGCTTAAATACATCTTATAACAACAGAAAACGTATCTACAATCCGTAATATAGCAAATGGTATATATAGATAGCTAATTACCACTAAAAGATAATGCTTTATAAAAATTTCTCTAAATTAAAATATGGGCTATAAAATTGAAAAGTAGGGAGCTCAATTATTCTTATGTTAAATTTTCCTAATTTTAAAAGACAAGTTAAAATGCGATGCGTAAAAGCTTTTCAAATGTGTTAAGGGAATTTAATACTAGTTTTTATTTGTATAAAAAAAAATATTGTAAAAACGGGTTCAGTTGAACTCTTTCCTTATTTTAAGCTTCGCTGATTGTGCACCAAATATTATACTTAAAGATTTTTGAGCCTTACCTAGCTACAACTATTATCTGAACGAAGTAAAAAAATGCGATCTTTGTAGTATAGTAAAATAAATATTAGTACCTTAATTGAATCGATCATGATCCAATCTGTTTATCAACATATATTTTTATCTTTTACATGTTAAAGACATCTTTTCTCAGCCGAGGAACAAAATAAGATCATTTCGTTCCATTTTTAGTAAATTATTAATGGATATTTCATTAATAATTAGAATCGCCATTAGAAATCTAGTAGTAGTATTTTTTTTATTTTGGAATTATTTCAATTGAATTTATTTCGATTATTTTAGTTTAGATTATTTAGTATTTCGAATTTTATTTAGAATTTTCTTTTTTTATTTATAAATAAAAAAAATAAAAAAATAGAAATAATAAGGAAGAGTGGTTTTTTTGAAATTAAAAAAAAAACTTATAAAAAGTATTTTGATCTTCGGGGAAATAGAGGTTGGCCTAATTTATATCAACCCTTAGGTAGTCAAGAAAATTTTAGGAAACTGAACAGACAACCTAACATGTTATTGTTTTTTTGCCTCTCTATTTCCCCAACTAATAAGCTCACCAATATTCTCTTTAACATATGGACTGTCCCAACTGTTTCATGAACTGCCTAGTTAGCGTTTAGGCATAGATGTAGTTGAAACTTGAAAAAATAATTTTTGAAATAGTTTTGAAAAATTATTTTTGGAAATTGAAATTATATTTGAACATGCATTTTATTTTTAAAAAAATTGAAGTTTTGTGAGTGGGAGAACAAGTTTCACCCAAAATCTACCCTAAACTAGATTTTGGGAACTTGAAAAATAATTTCAGAAATTTTTCAAAAATAAATCATTAATCTATGAGCAAACAATATTTTCAAAAAAAATTTGAAAAAATGTTGCCAAAATGTACTAATTAAAAGGCAATTTTCACCGGGACAACTTTGTATTCCTCAAAAAAGTAACTTGTAATTTTAGTCTAATAAAGTCCGAAAGGGTTGACTGAGTGGTTTTCTATATGGGAGATCTGTGATTGATTTCTCTTACTTGTAGTCTCCTTAGTCAGAGCTCGTCGCACCGGGCTTGCATATTGCGATTTACATATCATGTGTTGTTTGTGAGTTATTGCATAGTGAGCAGATTATCCAGTGCGCATCCGAAGGGTAGCGGCTGCATGTGTTTGCTGGAAATTTCAACAACAATAAGGCTAGTATAATCCCACAAGTGAGGTCTGGGAGTGAAGTGTGTACGCAGACCTTACCCCTACCTTGAAGGTAGAGTGGTTGTCTCCGAAAGACCCGTGACTCAAGAAAAGATGAAAAGAAAGGAGTAGCAACAAGCAGTAACAATAGCAATATATCCCTATGAAATTTTTCAATAAAAAAAAATTTAGTGTAAAAAAAAAAACTTTTAATTATATCACGTTCAATCTAAATAGAAAAAGAAAAAAAATGAAGAAGAAAGATTGAGTGACCGAGTGTTGATATAAAAAAAATAGCAATTTATTTTACTTCACTACATCAGGAAATTACACATCTCAATGTCGAATATTTTCAGAAATGTGCCTCTTCTTAGGGAAATTCGATGTGACTTGACTCTGTTTTAACCATAAATATGGGGTGCCCCAGATGTAAATCCGACCCACTTACGTACGACATCGTTTCCTTGCCAGATTAATAAGTTTCCCAGATTTGAATGAATAGCAATCAATCCGCTGAGCGTTGACAGTTGAGAATCAAAACTCAGTGTCAGATAAACAAGAATGTGACACTGTTGACTGTTCTGTAGCAGATCTAATAGTAGTTCATCTAACTCACCTACACCAATTAATTACTCATAATAAGCTCTCTCTTCAAATACCCAATTGGAATTATTTCTATTTCTTCTCAAAGTTTGTTTCTTTTAGAGTTTTAAGCTTTTTGGAGTGCTTCAATGGCTGGAGTTTTATCAGCTCTTAGACGTGTATACCTCACCCTTTACAATTGGATTGTCTTTTTTGGATGGTATGTTCAATGCCCACTTTCTTTCTTTTTTTTCTTTTTTTCTATTATTATTTTCCATTTGCGTCCGTTGTCCTATTACCGTGTTGATGTTATTATTTGTTTATTACTCCCTTTTCTGTTTTTGAGCCGAGGGTCTACCGCAAATAGCCTCTCTACCTTCGTAAGATAGGGTTGTACTTTTCCGACTCCACTTGTGTGATTTCACTACATTTGTTGTTGTTGTTATTGTTATTATTATTATTGTTTTTTTTTGTTGTTATATTATTATTTTCTCTAGTCCCACACTACATTGGCATCTAAGAGATACAGAGGCGGACCCAGCATTTGAACATTGTGGTTCCGAGTTTCGAAACTTATTATTTGTTCTTATTTTAGTGGATTTTTAAACAGATAAAATATATGTTGGTTGATTGATTGATTCGAGCCAAAGCTATTGGTTCGAGTGAACTATATGAACTTTCTGGGATTGAAATTTTGTTTGTTGATTGATTGATTTGCTGTTGGTTTTGATTTTTGTTTTTAAATTATTAGTTAACTGCGGATTTGATTTCTCTCTGTTTACTACTCTGATCTTTCGTGCATATTATAAATCGGGTAACTGGAAATGCAGGTTTCAAGTTTTTTATCTTGCCGTGAAAACACTGAAAGAGTCAGGGCATGAACATGTTTATGATGCTGTAGAGAAGCCTCTGCTCTTAGCTCAAACCGCAGCCATTTTAGAGGTAAACTCCCTCCAAGGCTATGCTTTTAGGATTTAAATTATCCATACTGACAGTGTAAAGATTATTTTACGCTATTAGTGAATTTTTACCTGTAATAGCAGGTCAGTTGTCATTTTTACGAGATCACCAATTAAAAATTTTAATTACGTAATAAATGACCTGATTATGTAAATAATTTTTANGGGGGTTGAATGCTATTTACATTCTGTGTAAATGTTGGGTATGATATATGATAGTTGATAAAAGTGGTTGATGATACATTAAATTCTCCTCACTCATATTGCCTTCATGATTCTGTTTTCCTAAAAGGTTGAATCTTTAATGGGTATGAGAGATATCTATTTTAGGAAAGTACACCAATTAGATCTGCTTTCATTCAAAGATGTTGGTTCAAATCTGGCAATTGTAAAGGGATGTAGCTGAAAGATGTTAGAGTGAGTTAGTATTTGGCCAGAATAGTCAGTTAAGTGTAGTGTTACTAAAAGCAGTTTTTGGGGAATACCCAAAAGATAATTTTTATGTTATTGCAAATTTTTCGTTTTTCAAATTTCTGAACTTTTTCTTTTGTAAAATGTGAAAATAATGCACTAATGAAGCTTGGTGGAAAAATAAACTCTAAAAGAGGATACCTACTTTCATAAGATCTCTGTGTAATGACAATGCTTTTTTTTTCTAATCGTTAATTATAGTTACTTAAATCTAATGAATGAACAAGAGAGAGTTCGGAACTTGATAATGATAATTGCTCACCCTCTTGGATATCCTTCTTGCAACTCACATGTAGTTAAGCTCTGTTAGCTGAAACCGACAAGTAGTTAGTTGTTTGTGCCGTAACCCATTCTCTTATTACATACTTATGGATTTTCTTAATCAGTTTTGAGGTAACTAATTGTTGCTGAGAAAAAGTGATATTATTATTTTTTGTTTGGTTTTATTATCATTAAATGCAACGGACTGGGATGCTAACTTGTTAATTTCTTTTTCGCATGAACTACGGAACAGATTCTTCATGGTTTAGTGGGTAAGTTTATTTGATCACAAGCTTAAATAAGCCCGCGAGAAGATTTTGCACTTAAATAACCTTTTCTTTTTTCTTCAACCTTAACTAGGTCTGGTAAGATCTCCAGTATCAGCTACTCTTCCACAGATAAGTTCAAGATTATATGTAACCTGGGGTATTTTATGGAGTTTCCCTGAGGTTAGCTTGATTATTTTCCTCTAATTTCTACACGACAATGTAAAAGTATTTTTTGCTAATGAATTGGATTGTCGATGCAGCTCCGGTCTCATATGCTTGTCAGTTCTCTAGTGATTAGCTGGTCTACAACGGAGGTGAGCCTTGCTTACATGTTCTGTTCTGTTTCATGTTAATATGCTTATTTATTGTAACTTGAGTTTTCAACTCTCCTGACAATAACTGCAATAATCGGAGCATCAATTTATTAATCAGAAAAGGAAAAGATATCAGTTGTCTCACCAGATATGCTCTTTTCAAGACCTTATTTACTATACTTAGTTGAAGAATTAAGAAAAGAGAACATTGAACAACTGAAAGTAAAACTCCGAGGCTTATGGTGGTAACAAGAAATTGTAAGTGTAGAGAAATTGTATTCCACCATTCCTTGTTGCAGTGAATCCATCGTATTATAATAAACAATTGAAACAGATTAAAGATGCCTCTAAATTTAGGTGGAGAAGATATTCTTAACTGCGCCTTGATTCTGTTTATTCTTTACTTGTAAAAATGTCACAGTATGCATAGCTGAAGAACACCTTTTGCCATATAAACCATTGAGATTACTATTTTCTTCTCATTCTTTTCTAGTCTTATATAGCTTTACATTAAGTTTTGAGTTCTCAATGAATTGGCACTCAAATGATTTTGATGGATGTGCTTCTGTGCTTCGGAGGTAACAGTAAGAGCAGCGAGCTTTTTTGGCTAGACAAATGACAAGATATAGATTCTTAACAACATCTGACCTCATATGCATTTATTTCTATCTTTAGGAAGATTTGACCGTTCATGATTGTAAGACGGTGGTTTCCAGGCCAGCTTGCACACAAATCGACTATTCCACCGAGTCTTGATGCATTTGTTTTCTTCTGAGGTCTAATAGTCCACTTAATCATAATTTAACTAAATATATCTTTCAGTTATCCTTGCTCCATGTAGCTAATGTAGAAGCTTGTAGTTCAGACTTAAGCATCCTCATAACCTCAAAAAATTTGTGAGAGCACATTAGACTGACTTTGTCACTGCGTGATGCATGTATTTGAAAGTGCTTGTATCAGTATTCTCCTCCCACTCTTTCTGTCCACTAACTTCTCTCTATATCTGTTCATAACCATGCCAGTTCATGAGTGCTTAAATGGTCGTATTCATATATAAGAGTTGTTTTGATAAGTATAATCTATTCATGTGTAAGTAACATGTTGATAATTGGTATAATCTTTGTGCTCAAACTTCAGATCATCCGATATTCATTCTTCGGGACAAAAGAGGCATTCGGTTCTGCACCTTCCTGGCTCTTGTGGCTAAGGTATGATCCGTTAACTTTGCCAGCATGGTAAATGAGTTCGTGTGATAAATGGGTTGGGGCTAAACTGGTGTTAACAAACCCATCAACCCAAGTTTGACCCATTTAAAATGAACCACCTGTTTTTCTTTTTCAAATAACAATCCAACACAGAGACTCATATTCTTATTGATATCATAGGTTAGCGCAACAATTTTTTTCCTAAACACAGAAACAACCATTTGAATTTTCATTTGAGTTAGCCTGTTGGTCTATTAGTTATGGTTAAGTATCCAAAGAAAGATTCACTTTGGAAGAGAGGTAGCCAGTGATTGAGTGATAAGTTGATCGATAACATACAAACTGTGAAATAATTGACAAGAAATAGGAAAGAGAAGGAAAAGCAATTAAGATGGTTTCACAAGTGTGTCACACTGGCACTATGGGACTAAAATACAAACTATTATATGAACGGACAGGCCATCGGATTTGCGCCCATTTTTTCTTCTCTAGTAGTGGCAAATGCCTTCTCTAGCAGGTTCTTTTTTAGTCTGATTTGCACCTTAAAGACCGATCTTTAGGTATTGATTTTATTCCTGCAGGTATAGTACCTTCATGTTGCTGTATCCTACTGGCATCACAAGTGAAGTTGGTTTAATATACAGTGCCCTGCCTTACATCAAGGTACCGAGACAACATGTCTCCCTTTCGATTCATACAAGTTACAGTAAATAAGTCATATACTGAAATCTTCATTAGATTCTGTCATTCTGAAGAGTTCGAGAATTCCTTTTTTCCTTTGAATATTTTCTATCATATAGTATTTATTTTTTGGTTTAACAAAATAAGTTGGAAATTCTGCACCCTCTCCCTCCTGTTCCGAAATAAAAACTGATTTGCTTTATAGTTTTTATCTTAGCTTCTCAGAGACACTTGGACGTAAATTTCTGCACCTATATATACCTAGTTTCTTGGGCCCTTCTAATTGGAATTCTGTTCCTTGCCTCGGCTTCTAATTGTTCTATTTATATGTGTGGGGGTCTGTCTTCTAATCGAACTATATTTTTCCAGGGATCTGAGAAGTATTCTATTAGGATGCCAAACAAATGGAACTTCTCTTTTGATTACTACTATGCAGGACTTGTTGCCCTCGGTATCTATGTCCCAGGCAAGTATCCTTTCACTAAAATATCTCCTTCTAGGCCGCAAATGCATGCTCATTTCTTTAACTTTTCGGAGTATTCCTTTCTATTTTAGATTTTGATTAGTTTGCTAAATGCTATGAATTCATTAGATGATATTCTGAATTGCAGGTAGTCCTCACATGTATGGTTACATGCTCGGACAGAGAAAGAAAGCTCTCTCCAAATCGAAAAAGGAGTAGACTTAATCAAAATGTAGCTGTTAGGGATTGTATTTTTGCAAGTGATTTGTTCTGAATCAATGTATTGCTACTGTTTTCATGTTTATTTTATTGATTTAAACAATAGAACAATTTGCATTTCTCTTGCTGAGTTTTCATTAGAGCTAAACAAAGGATTTACTAAAGTTGGTATAAATGATCAGAGAAGGTTAGTAATTCTCAAAACAACAAAGAAAGTATAATTAGACAACAACAGTAACAATAAACCTTGTGTAATCCCACAAGGTTTACACGCAGACCCGTGAGGTCTGGACAGGCTAGTATCTACGCAAACCTTATTCCTACTTTATGAAGGTAGAGATGCTATTTACGATACCCTAACCTCTGGAAAAAATGTAAAATTAGACAAAAATGAAAATAAACCTTATTCCTACTTTATGAAGGTAGAGATGCTATTTACGATACCCTCACCTCTGGAAAAAATGTAAAATTAGACAAAAATGAAAATAAACCTTATTCCTACTTTATGAAGGTAGAGATGCTATTTACGATACCCTAACCTCTGGAAAAAATGTAAAATTAGACAAAAATGAAAATGAAAATGAAAATGAAGATAGATACATTCACAAAAAAAAGGTTACATTACAATGACATAATTTCAATTTCCAACTGTTGTCAATAGTTGGTAGTCACACACATACATTTCTTGAGTTTGCTTTTACATTCCACATTTCAGTAGTTAGTACTTATTTTGGTCAGCAACATTGCACATAGAAGATGGTGATCTTGCTTTTGACTGTTAGCTAACTTTGCCTTCCCCTTCAGCCTGGGTAAGGCAGCCTGCCATAACAAAAGAAAATTAATTCAAAACAGGTCATCTGCACGATAAATTATATGTAAATCTCGATGATAAACATTAATAGGAAACTCAGTTAAAATGATNGGGGGACTAGTAGAGTTAAATGCATTACTGACAGACTCAGAGGATTGACGTTCCTCGTTGTATATGTTTTCTGATTCAACTGCTACTACAATTGCTGGATGTTTGCTGCTGTTGTTCGATATCTCCATTACCTTCACAAAGAGTTGGCAGTAGTTATTATCAGTAAGTATGAAGGGAAGCATTGATGCAACAATAAAAGTTAGCGTTAGTGTGACCTTCTGGTCACAGGTTCAAACTGCAGAAATAGCCTCTTGCAGAAGTTCAAGGTAAGGCTGCATGCAATGACATGACTCAATACGGTCCGGCCTTTCCCGGACCCGCGCGTGACGGGAGCTTAGTGCACCGAGCTGCTGCAAACCCTGCCACCAGTTAATAAAGAGACTTTCCAGTTGTGTTCTTACCTGCTGTTTCATTCTTTCATTCTCTTCCATTAGTTGTATGCCCTGTAGATTATACAATATCTTCAGCCTTGTGAAATATTATGAAAGTGAAAATATGATAGGCAATTTTGTAGAATGTAAATTCATTAACTACTCGAATTTTAAGCTTTGGTATATATAATACTCTTTATAATTCATATCATATCAAATCTACTTTTCAACCATCATTTTTATTTAATTTTTCACTGTCACCGATGTAATACGCAAGTCAAAGTAACATTATTTTTTAAAATTTTGCGTCCAGTCAAATAATATTATATACCTGAAAGAAAAGAGTATCGGTTGCTAACCTTTTCTTGAAGCTGATGGATCTCTTTCATTATTTTGTCACCCTAAGAAAATAAAAACAAAGCAAGTTTCATGAAGACACCATTAGCTTTAGCAATTCATGTACATAAACAAAGTGCGCGGATCCTGCCCGATTTTTATTTCCATCCCAATCAAATCTGACCTACGCATCTAAAACAATGACTAACCTTCTTCTCAATGACGCGGCTCAATCCAGCTTCAAGAGATTTCTCCAATTGTTGCAACTCCTCAACACTTAATCCTTGAAGCTCTTCTCCCCTCATTTGCCTGTTTCCATTTCATGTTAAATCTCATTTTGCATTTTTTAACCCAAAAAATTATTGATAGAACTATCTATACCTCAGTTGATGGCTTTTCTGAGAAATTTCCTTGGTTAATCTAGCGTAATCGCTGTTCTCTACCAGCTGCAAAGAATACTTTCCATCTTTAGAACAAAAGGAAGTAGAAAGTCGAAATAACTACAAATGCAAACACAAAAACTCTGAAAGTACAATGGATCAAGAAATTTACCTGCAGCTCAAGTGAAGGCTGCTCCAATTTCTGCAGATTCTTCGAGAGCAAATTATGCCTTTCAAGAATTTCTTTCATGCTTCACAGAACAAAATAAATTTTTAATATCACATCATCTCGAGATTATCAAAATGGCGACACATGATCAGTTGACTCCAAGACGAACACGCACTTTTGAAGTATATTAGCTTTCCAAAAAGGTGTAAAGTAGTGGAATAAACCTAAAGAAGAAGCATCTGCTTAGCTAGTATAACCTTTTAGCTAACATGCTGGAGGAAAGAGTAGCTTTTCAAAGAAGGTGTAAGCATTTCATCAACCGATCGAGAAGATGAAGCAGCATTGCTAATCTCAGTCAGTTGTTGGTTTGTGCCATAAACGATCATATCACCATGTTCATACTCTATAAATATTTTATCACTGCTTTGATGTTCCCGCAAAAAGATTTTGCAACATAACACAAGCAATTACAATTCATACTTCCAGATAAATATTGTAATTATTCATACCCTATCCTAGTATTCTGAATCTACTATTCAAGCTCCAAAAGTTTTGCACAGAGAGGAGTGCCCAGTTAAATACTTTTTTATCGTTTCAGTTCTCTTTCGCTCCCTTTATAGTCCTGCAAATTATCACATTTCTTTGTATGGAGCTAAAAATCCTTTCGTGTTTGGAAGGCCAGCACCAGCGTCAATAACATAATATTTATCTACCAAAATGAAATAACATTAAACTAGCTAACAGCATTAAAAATCTAATGTAGTTAAAGTCTAATACAGTGTGGCAGAAATGAAACTTTGGCACTAGGTCAACAATGGCATTCTTAAGCACTCTACTATTTTGTTTAGTACCTTCCCATCCAGCTGCAATAAAAGGGATCCAACTCCTCTCCATTTATCTTTTCTCCATTTTCCCCAAGTTCTTGTTAAGATTAAGGACACATGGCATAAGTTAGATAATGGCTAAGATTTAATTAATTAAAGTGTTAGAAACCAAAGAAGTTCTATATTTCATATCTAGAAGAGAAGATTACAAGGCCTATTTATAATACTAATTCACCTAATCTATTAGTTGTCATACACCTAATTACACCTACTATACAACTCATATACATGTGCTAGCTATGATGTAGTACATGTGTATACATGTGCTACACAACTTGTATTACACCTACTATACAACTCATATACATGTGCTAGCTATGATGTAGTACATGTGTATACATGTGCTACACAACTTGTATTACACCTACTATACAACTCATATACATGTGCTAGCTATGATGTAGTACATGTGTATACATGTGCTACACAACTTGTATTACACCTACTATACAACTCATATACATGTGCTAGCTATGATGTAGTACATGTGTATACATGTGCTACACAACTTGTATTACACCTACTATACAACTCATATACATGTGCTAGCTATGATGTAGTACATGTGTATACATGTGCTACACAACTTGTATTACACCTACTATACAACTCATATACATGTGCTAGCTATGATGTAGTACATGTGTATACATGTGCTACACAACTTGTATTACACCTACTATACAACTCATATACATGTGCTAGCTATGATGTAGTACATGTGTATACATGTGCTAGACAACTTGTATGTCAACACTCCCCCTCAAGTTGGAGCATATATATTGATCATGCCCAACTTGTTACAAATATATTCAACTCGAGCTCCATCCAAAGCTTTTGTGAAAATGTCTTCCAATTGATCTCCAGTTCTAACATGACCTGTAGAGATGAGCTTTTGTTGAATCTTTTCACGAACAAAGTGACAATCTATTTCAATGTGCTTAGTCCTTTCGTGAAATACAGGATTAGAGGAGATATGACGAGCAGCTTGATTATCACACCACAACTATGCTGGCAATGTAGTTTGGAAGCCAACTTCACTTAATAGTTGATGTACCCATACAACCTCACACACAGATTGTGCCATAGCTCTGTATTTTGCTTCCGCACTAGATCGAGATACGACATTTTGTTTCTTACTCTTCCACGAAATCAAGTTTCCACCAACAAAAACGCAATATCCTGTCATGGATTTCCTATCGGCTTTTGACCCTGCCCAATCTGCATCTGTGAAATACTCAATATTAGTGTGTTCATTATTCTTATATACTAGACCCCGTCCTGGAGATCCCTTTATATAACAAAGAATCGGCTCCAGAGCCGCCCAATGCCTGACTGTTGGGGAAGACATAAACTGACTCACAATGCTGACAGAGTATGCGATATCGGGACGAGTTACTGTATGATAGTTCAGTTTCTCAACCAATCTCCTATATTTCTCTGGATCTTCGAATAACTCACCGTCTTCTTTCACGAGTTGTGTGTTAGGAACCATTGGCATGCTGCATGGTTTAGATCCCAACTTTCCAGTTTCAGCTAACAAGTCAAGAGTATATTTCCTTTGGGACAAGAAGATGCCTTTCTTGCTCCGTGTAACTTCAACTCCCAAAAAATACTTTAGTTGCCCTAAATCTTTCGTCTGAAATTGAGTGTGAAGGAAAGACTTTAGA